CAATGATATCATCGTCGGATCCCTTGCCTCGTGACGTCGATGAGGTTACTCACCCGGGACCCCCTCGTGATCGATTTTCTTGCATGGTCACTTTTGCACATGCGATCCTGATGCGCGCTGCTCTTGTTCGCGGTACGTAATCGCGAGGGTGTCACTTCCGGCGCCGTCGCAGCGGCGTCGAGACGCCCGACCGAGACCGAGTCAGTGCGTCGCGAGACGTCACTCGTACGTCACGCGCTCCGTTAATTTTATTTTTGCATCCTTTCCTAAAGATTCGCATCGTGCGCGTGTGTGATATGCTACGGAATTCTTGACTTGCTTTCATTTCGCGTGAATGTCCACCACGTATAAACGCGCGGTCCAAAAAAAGTAAATATATTATTTGTTTGTATATAATATATGTTTAATAATTATCTGTAAATTACATCCACGATGTAATATAAACGTAATAATTATAACAAATATCTCTATTAGTGTTTGTGATGAGTGACAAGTTTTTTTATGGACACATTAAATTATATTCTAGTAATTTCGATTTTAATCTTTCATTCAACTTTTATCAATTTTTAATTCCAATTCTTTAATGAAATAATTATCAAAGATTTTATCTTGAAATTATTTATGGAAGCTGTTATCTTAACAAAATATACCGTATTATGTATTATTATTTATATAATTTCTCTTGTTTTTTAAATATCTTCTGTTTTCTTTATTATTATTTATAATATTTTTTGTGTCGAAGATAAAAATCTAGTTTGAATCAAGTGACTCATGCAGCGATGTAATCTACCAGTCTGAATCATAACGTTTTTGTTGATAATTCTAATAGCCTCTTATGATATTTTTTCTCGATTTCGCTCATTTATAATTTACAGAGGCATTTTAAATAGCTTGTACAGGTATCGATACGATGTATAGGTATCGATAGCGAAAGATCTTAATGGTCCAATTTCACTTTTTCTCTGTATTTTCTTTAAGGCTTATCGGATAATGTTGTGGTCGTCCGATCACCTCACATGGTTAATTTTCTCTCTTCTATTATGTCTTCTCTGTTATATCGCGCGGATTTTCTGTCCTAATAGCTAGAGACGTTTCACGTATAATAGCAACATACGCCACCAGTGATTATCTATAAGAGAAGAGCATCGTCAGTAATTTCGTTTCTGCACACGAGACTAAAACGCACCGAGATGAGTCATCGTGAGATATATGGCAAGATTTAGTTTCATGCGAAGAAACGACGTTATTAATGACGCTTTTATTATGATTATTAGTAATCACTCTACGTATGTGACGTTTCATTGCGATTGCTTGTAATTTTCCAAGAACGCGAAAATACTGTGAATTTTTTAACTCGTTGCATATACATGTTATAAACGAAATATGAATTTTCTGAATTTAGTGGAGTACTCGGTGTCGAGAAAATTAATGTAACGAGACTTAATGTTGATATATTTAATTTAGAGACGCACATTTAACGTTGAGAAATTTAATCTAGCGAGGAATTAACGTTGACAGATTTAATTTAGCAGGTATTTGCACGTTAATATTAATTCTTGCAATAATACGATGTTAAAGATTCGGTAGTATAGTACGTCGAACCTGCGATAGCGAAAAGGGCAAACACACTTGAGTAAGCTTTCCGTTTTTCCTTTTTCATTAACCAGAAGCAAGACTTCCAGAAGGGACTATCTTCGCGGTGAGTACCGTGTAAAGGAACCATTAGCTGTCCCGTAATGGAGGTATTCAGCGGGTCAGCTTTGACCCCGTAAGACCGGTACCGGTATTCGAAGCTTGATTTAACCACGGAGATAGGCACTATGCGACAGTATTCTCCGTTTTTTTTCCCCGTGGGCAATGTAAATTCTTGAACGCGCGGTTTCCATCAAATCGCAAGTTCCGGTTTTTCCTCAGAAAAGTCCTGTTTGCGTTAGTATTGTAGTATAAAAGTCATATCTTTTCTTTTACTCTATAAAAAATAATGTCTTAAGGTTTAGTATTTTATTAAAAATATGACTGATTTATTATATGCTAATCTAAAAGATGCATGTTAAAATAATATAGTGTGCGAAAATTATGTGGTAAAAGAAATAAGAGATTCATTGGATATTTTGTCGTGCTTTTAATTATGCAAATTTAAGAGGAAATTTATGTAATTTAGTTTATGATTTATGTATTATTATACATATAATTAATATCTTCAAATTTTTTACTTAAAAAGCTATTGTTGGAGTAGTCGCGAATTATAAACAGTATTTTTTTAATCATGTACCAATTTTGAACCAATAATGTTAATATGAAACATATGATACAATTGACGCAATAATTTAATATTATTTATAAATGTTAATTAATTAAAATGAATAAGAAATCAGAGACTTTATATCTATAGTTTTTATAAACTTTTATTATGCAGTGAACTAGAGTAATCGATAGATGTGGAAAAGTAAAGTGACCCACGCGAAAACGATATCTCGTCTCGTCTCTCGTTTGCATGCCCGATTAATTCTGTCCTGCGCCAAAGGCAAGACAGGATGTGCCGTTATATTGGATTGCTCAAGGGTTGCGGCATAAATTAACTCTAGAATACTAACAGGAAAAACCCCGAAGAAAATTTAAAATTGTCGTAACATTTTGTGTTTAATTTTAGCTTTCTCTAATTTTCTAATTTTTTCTTGTTGCATATTTATTTAAAAATAATTACATACTATATAAAGATAGTTAAAAAAATGAGTTGAGAGAATCTAAAGTAAGCAAAGTAGCGATCATCAAAATTATATTAGTATTCTAAGATTAACGGAACGCTTCTTGTCGCCCGCGCAAGAGATGGATATGTGAATGTTGGAAAGCTGACATTAACGAATGACGTGGGAAACAGGGATGATGGCAAGGAGTCAAGGAGATGTTAAAGTTGAAGTTGGGGACGACAAAATGCATTCAGCGAGTTTGAATCATTGTAACTCACGAGCATTCCTCTTGAAATTCACTCGAATGGCGTTTTTTGCGTTTAAAGTTTTCCCGCGAATTGAAGTTAAGATTGTACTTCTAAAAAACTGCAATACGCTTTATTTATTAAAGAGAGAAGAATTTAAAAGTTCAAAGATCCTTGTAGCAAATAATACAAAGAAGAAATATCAAAGAAGATTCGAAGATCTAAGTATAAAAATTTTCATTATAAATAAAATATTTTAAAAATTCAAGGATTACAAGCCAGTGAGATTTATATATTTTAAATTCTATTTTATTAAATTTTTTTTATATTCTTTTTCTGAGCCTATATTATTATAAAACAATAAATCGTCTCTTTTTTTTTTTTTTATTTCATACAGTTGATAATTCAAGGATTTTTAAATCTCGTCGATAAAAGTTTGTTAAATTTGTATTTATATTAGCTAGTATAAACTGATAATTGGCCTTGTATATATTTTGGCATAGAATTAAAGTTCCTTGTTGACCGGATAATTAATGCTTAATTAAGTCAGGTTAACTCGTCTGTTACGAGCTTAATGGTCGATTCCCGGTCGTTATTACGCCAAACGTTGTGGAACGTTTACGCCAACAATTCGTAACTTCCGCCTGGTCAATGTACTTTTTCGTAAATTTCGTGTCGATCAACTGCCTCTGACGTCAATATCGCGTTGTCGTGCAAGTATGTGGTACACAAGTAAAATCTTTCATTTTTTTTTATTACATTTTCTAAATCTATTATTAAAATTTTTATCGCATCATTAAAATAAGGGATTTGAAGAAATAAAAATAAAGAAAAGAAATTTTCACGAATCAATATACTAAAGACTGAAATTTACATATTTCACGATAATGACATTCAGGCAACGGCGATAAAATTAGATCGCTGTAAATACAGATGGGTACCTTTTACGTCTCGTTTTATAACTTTTAGCGTATTTTGAACGCCTCAGTGCTTCGTTACCTCGAGACACGTTATTATACGATGAGTTTACGACTTGTTACATAGTTGTCAGCCATCAGCCTCATACACGTGCGTTTGAAGCAATCAACGATGCGTCGCGATCAATGAATATCGCGATTGATTCTGTATAAAATGTTAACTATACGAATTATTATTTATTTTATCCACAGTATTACGTTACCTGCGATCGTTTGGATAATCCGTCATTAAAATCTCGATTTGGGAGAATATAATTAATATAATTCTCTCTTCGATCGACACGATCTTTTTCAACGCGTTTTAGATCGTATGATGTGTACTTTTCCGGCAGATATGATGAAAGATGAATATTCGCGTATCCCATCGGGAATTGAAGAAATTGCATTTCATCGTAGAGAGATGCGCCCCGGGGGCGAATCAGAAATTGCTCTCAATCGGTGTTTGCCCTCCTTTTCCGGCGGGCGCGCGCTCATTTTGCAGACGGACGATGACGCCTCGATACCTGCGCCCAGCTCAATTAAATGTCCCGGCAAATTGTCTGAAATTGAATTTTCGTTTCATCATTGCGTACATTTATACCAAGTACAATCAAAGTTAGGTTTGCTGGTGAAAGTATTTTCAGTTTATACACCGTGATGAAATAATTACAAACATAAAATTCGGATATTGTTGAAATATGAGACGGCTTTCATTTAATAATCGTGCAAACATCCTCTTGTTAATTAACTTATCTGTAGATAAGATATATGGGATATTTCAGATTCATATTTTTGCAATTAACATTATTATTAACTATATTACATACGGTTATATCACATTTATAACTTGTTTTAATAATTTATTTTAAAAGTATTCAGAAGCTTAATAAAGATTAAGAGTTTTATAATAAAATTAATATTTTAAATGCTAATAATTCTAAATATTAATTAAGACTATTTTTTTATGATGCGATAAGCTCTACAGCATATCAAATAAATATAGCAAAGAAGATATAGAGAAGAGAGCGATTTCTTTTAAATACATTTATTTAAAAATTCAATACATGTATACATGTAGGACTTAGAAAATTGAATTAAAATATTTTATTCCTTATTTAAAAAATAATATATAAAAGTGTTTATATTCATACTGATAAAATGAGTGGACGGAGTATGATGAGGGAAACATGTGTATCTATCTAAATAAAGTTATGCCTGCGCGGCATGATAGAGTAATTATAATAAATGGATCATGAAAAATCATTATGGTCAATCGACTCGTTGCTTCAAGGTAATATGGTACGAATCGATAACAGCGTCGTATCTGTAACAATATCTTACTAAGAATAAACCGGTGACGAATAATAAACCTGTGACGGAATCATGCGCCAAAATACCCTTGGTTTTGCAAAATTTGGGCGAATCTTATAATTTTTATAATCATTATTACGTTGAGGATCGTAAAAAGCGTACGCCTTTCTCGCTCTTTTCGGATAATAGTATGCGCTTGAAAGTTGCATTTGCGGTACGTTCGATGAAGTCGAAACGACGTACGTTATCGGTGCTACATTACTTCGAGCATTGATATTTCCGTAAAACATGTTGCGAGGAATTTTGTATGAAGGAACATTGCTTGAATACGCGGGATTTTTTGTCATGTAAATATTGAAACCATCTGTCAGATACGTAGGTTTGTCGTTATAGTCATAGTCTTGATAATCGATCACTGAGTTGTCCAGATTATCTTTCAGATAATCATTCAAATAATAATACATATACGTGTAGTCGTTCGGAATTGTGTAAAAAGCTTGCGATGTGCCAGAATATGGCGCACTGATTATCTCGCTTTTTGAAGGCACCTCGTTGTTTCTGTACTGGGTAAATGTATAATATGATGCTGGAGTTGTTGTAGGCGTACTTGGTATGGCCTCGGTAGGCGGTTTTTTAATTTCTATGTTACTTGTCGAACACGGAACACCACCCGCACAGAGATGTATTGGTGTAAACAACTCTTGTTTTGGTTGAGCTGTGTTGGTTGCGCCGATATTTGTAGTTTCCTGCAAATAGAGATGTGGAATGTATCTCACTCCTTATTTTTGTAAAGATATTTCTTTTTGTCTTTTTAAGAAAATTACATTGTATATCTTGTAAACCACATATAAATGTAGTATTATATTGCACAAAAAACAATACGAATAATTTATTTCAAAAAGATGGTAACCATTTTTAAAAAATGTCCATTCTTTCAAAAGCGAGAAAATGCATCAAAAATTTGATAATAAATTTATTAATAAATGTCTAATATATTATAATAGCTTCTGAGATATTTATAAGAATAATCAATCAATAAAGTTTTCATTGATTGATTATTTTTATAAATATCTTAGAAGCTATTATATTATGTTAGACAGAAGCATTAATCTTGATTTTTACATAATCTTAGAGGAGATTAATGTATCCTGAAAACATCAGAAAGGAACATCCCATTCGTTTTTAATCAAGATTGCAGATAAACTATAAATTGCTTATTAATTATATTGAATCAAAATTAAATTTTTAACAGTATCTGCATAAAAATTATTTTTATCAATAATTGTAATAACTAATAAAATTTATATAGATCGGACAAAAATTAGAAAATTCTAAAAATATGAAATTAATTAGATCAATGTTACGTAGAATCTTCTCACCTGCGAAGATTTCTGATCGGATGTTTGATGGATGATTGGATAATTGGATGTATTCTGCTGATCCAGGTATTTTGTCCTCTTACTCGGATACATGTTGGCATTGTATGTTATATAATTTGGCCAATACTTAGATGCGAATGGTATTGTTGGCTGATATGCTATTGACGTCATCGGCAAAGTGTACGCGTATGTGTTGCCATAGTTGGTATAATATTTGATATAATCCTCGCGCGATTCTTCTTGTGGCGACTGTATCTGGGATGTAGTTATCGGGCTCGAAGATTGTTCCCAATTTGTAGAAGGCACATTAGGAGTAAGATTTGTATTTTCGTAATTAGTACGAGATGGTTCTTGATTTTTTCCTTTTTCCTGGGAAATTAACACCGCTTGTTGCGATGGTTCGGTTACTGTTGTTTTGGTAGAATCTGGTGTAAACTGGGTGAGAATTACTGGTGTAATTACAGTGGCGTCCTGACGTTTGGAAACCAAATGTTCTGTTTCGTTCTCTCTTTCGTCTAGATTTTTGTTCCGAAATCTGGAGTACATCTTATTCGGATCCAAGCCGAATAAAAACGGTTTTGTTGTAAAATCGCTTTGACGGTTCTTCACATGTTTATCTATAATGGAATAATTTATTTTATTTATTTTGGAAACAAAATTATTTTAAAATTAATATATATATCACATTAGTTTATGTTCGCATTTCATATTGTAATACAAGACTTTTGAAATAAGCGACGAGTCAGATTGTTTCGTAGAGATGTAACTTTATGATTATTTGTTAAATATTTACCATTAGTACTGGTAGATTCATTTTTCAAAAGCAGCGAGTCGATGGCCGTAGGATATTCGATATCGATTAGGGACGGCTTCGGGGCCACATCATGTGTAGCGATCGCGGGTTCGGTGGATTTGACGTTTGTAAAATCGGTTGATCTTTTACGCCGGTAGTGTGCTATCTGAAAAAATGTTATACTTAAGAAATATTCAAGAAATTGCAAACTTATTTACTTACACAAAATACAATAAAAAAATATTAGCATTTGTATTTTATACATTTATATAAAATTAGAGCTCAAAGAAAGAAAAAAATTATTGGCAAAATTTATAAGTTGAGCTTATATGATTTTATTAAAAATATTACATTGATTTAAAATATCAAAACTCGAAACTAAAATGATATTAATACGAAATGTTGAATTAATGAGAAATAAAAATATTAATTATATTTTTTTACGATATCGTGCTTTAATATTATTTTTATTTTGTATAAATAATTATGCATGATGAATATTTACCAAAGGATTGGGATGGGCGATGAACACCGAAGGCCGTACATATTCATGGCCTCCTAATTTGATGTAATGCAACTTGCTGGTAGGTTTCTTCGTCATATAGTGATTATAAGGATAATGAAGCAGTGAATGGTGTGGATATCCTACCAAACTTGATCGAACTTTGTTTTGGTAAACTCCTGGTACATAATAGGGCTGCACTATCTGAACTTGCGGAATATATTGGTTCAAGTGTTGGGCTGGTAATTGTTTCGCATAATGTTTGGCCGCAGTTGGAACTTTATAATGCAAAACAGGCTGATATTGTGGATAAGTGCTACGTTGATGTTCGTAACCGGGTTGAACAAGGATGTCGGCGAATACGATTTTTGCCGATGAAATTATCACCGCAAGAATCTGTAACGTTTAAGTAAACTTATGCAAATTATTTTCGAACAAATATTTGACGGTGAAAATTTATTCTCTAAATTATTTTTAAATAATCTAAAGTTTTGTTGACTATATTATCGTAGAATTATTTAATTATAATGACTTTATTATACACTAATTAATTTTTATATAATTTTTTACTAGCGCTAATTTAAATATTGAGAGACTTAATTATTGAGACTCTAATTCTAGAAATCGAAGTCTTATAAAAACGTAAAATAAATATAAGGAAAATTCACTTACTAATTGACTTGTGAACATCGTGATTTCTTGTTGCTCTTGCTGCAGTTTGCCTGAGACTAATACGAAACTTGGTCTGTCGCTAAGCGTAAATAGCCAATGAAATTGCTGATGTTATGTATTTCATATTCTTTGTAATTTGATTAGTTTGCACATTGTATGGATAAAGCTGTTCGAGGCGGAAATATGAGCCAGCAAATATTTAAAAAAAAGAACGCATTGTTAGTCATTCTGAAAAATTGTTGGTGTGAGTAGTATATTGCTAGTTGACTAAAATATAATAGATGCATCGTATTATAAACGTTTCGACAAGCGTTTCTGCTTAACGATTGGTTTGCGAATGAAACTCTTATGATCATCGTATCGATGTACGGTTTAATTTGTGCGGATTTCCGTTCGTTATAATACACGATTGCAAAATCCGGCAATAATATGTACGTATGGAATGCGCGAAAATGCACTTCCTCGCGAGTTCGTTGCACTTTGGGGCCAGCGCACCCGTAGATGTGCCCTGATTGTCGCGTAAGTGGGTGGCTGGATGCCGAGACGTTGATCTCGACTTCTCTCTCGTTGTAGAAGCCATACCTCCGAATAACAGGCATCTCTTAGAAATTTACATTATTGTTTTCGCGTTGTTTGCCTTTTCACATGCGAAAGTTGAAACCAAGGATAAACCACCGAGCTAAAATTCTAAGATAATTTAATACGGCATCAAATTATTCGATATAACATATTCATGATAATTTCAATCTTTCTCATAGAATAAGAATTTTTATTCTTTGTTTCTTTTTTTATTCTTTTTCTAACAATAAGTGTAAAATTTTTATATGTATATTATACTATGTTTTATATATTATAAT